CAGATGCGTTGCCGGGCTTTTAAAAAGGAATAGGCTCTTTTCTTGAAGGTCCCTAAGTCGTATCGGTCCGGAAAAATCGCTGGTGGTAAACTATTCCACAAGGAAGTCGTGCGAGGAAGAAAACATCTTCTAAATCGCACAGTGGTGGACCGCCAATCATCCAGATGGTGTGGATGGTATCGAGAGTTCTGCCGCGATGTGCGTTCGTGAAATTTGGCGGCTGGGATTAATTAAGTCGAGCCGATCGGAAAAGACTCGGTTGACGACGATTCGAGCCGCTCTGCGCTGGATGCGATCAAGTGGAAGGAGCTGGCACTGGGGCACACACACACGTATCCATATAAATAAATAAATAAACATTATCAAGCAAGCAGTGTTTAAATACACAATAAATCACAATAACCGCGCAACGGATTTTGATGCGGTTTTCACCGTCAGTTAGATTTTTTTTTCATTAAAGGTTTATATATTAAATATATCCTAATTAAGCTTTTGTGTAAGTAGAAACAATTAATATTTTGTAATAAAGTCGTCAAAAAATCAATTTTCATCAGGTATTACAAAATTGTACTACTTCAAAAATCCTTGAGAAGACTTCGCGATGGTATATCTTCAATGATTGACTCACAGTAACAATTTTTTCTTTATAATTTTAATTAAAAATATTATGATAATTACGACGCTTTTTGCTCTTATTCGGTATTAGTTGTTCCCCGCGACTTCGCCCGCGTTTAATTTATTACGAGTGGATTTCATGGGTTTTAATTTTTTTGCGCGGAACCCTAATTATTTTTCTAAAATAAAAATAGCCTAAGTTACTCCTTATAACACTAGCCAGTGCAAGTCCCGTCAAAATCGGTCCAGCCGTTTCAGAGATTAGTCGGAACAAGCAGACAGAAGGACAAAAATTTTAAAAATTGTCTTTTTTATTATAAAGTATCGTATATACTTACATATGCATTTAATAAAAAGCTGTTATTTAGACATTACAAACAGACACTTCAATTTTATTTATTTGTATAGATGTATAGATATAGATTAATCCTTGTTCAAATAATATATTTTATGTTAGTAACCTTGAGTATTAAATTTTGTTTACAACTGTCTTTAACACTATATAATATTAATTAATGAAATTACGCGCAACCGAAAAATAACTCGCAGCCACAGCTAAACTTTATTAAAAATCAGTAACGTTAAAAACATATAGGCAAGAAAAATTATTCATATTTTTCTTGCTAAGTGTACTTCTTTTTCTACCGACTTCAAAAGGAGACAGTATTCAATTCGACTGTATGTTTTGTATAATTGTCTATTCAATGCAAATTGGGACGGACAAATTTAAATAACAATAGCTTCATTATTATTAAACTTAAAAAAAAAAGACTTCTAACTTCTTCTATTTTAAAAACATTATATATATGTTGCCAACACGCATTTGGGGCAGCGCGGGTGGGACGTATATAGACTGTAACTTTAACTACTGAAATATCCACTTAATAACAAAAAAAAAGAGAATCTTTGAAATCGGACAGCGTGGTAAGGAATGAACGCTAAACAAACATAAAAAAAAATATTTCGACGAATTGAGAACCTCCTCTTTTAGGATGTCGGTTGATCATGTTATAATGTCACATATTATAAGCATAGCAAAGTTTTAATTCAAAAGATTAAGCAGATCCTAGATCCAGCTATGACGTCTTATAAAAATTTATGGATCATGACTTGCGGTTAATGAGAATTACGATGGAATTATAATTTCTCATTGAAATAAATATCATAATAAATGTTACCATAGCAACTGTAGTACAAAAGGTTAATAAACCCAGCACACAGCTGCAAATAGATAGTGTATACTTTTATGTAAGTACTTACCCTAGACATTGGCGCGCAGCGTGCACAAGCAAGACCGGCGGGAGGACGGCGCGGCGGTTGTGGCGCCGGGACTACGGGACCCTCCTTCACTCTGTACAGGGATGATGTTCGGGTCTGCCAACAATGTCACTTACTTAAACCAGATTTCTTTTATAAAACTAAAGTAACAACTTCGAACTTACAGTCCACTAGATGGTAAGTACATACTGCAGTCCATGGACACCTGGAGCTAGGGTTACCACCTTTTTTTTTTGAACCAATATAGTATTTTTTCAAAACAGATTCAAAAATATAGTACTTTCGAGAAATTCAGGAAAAAAAGTACAATTTTTAATATTTATGTATTTTTCCATATATATTTGTTATTGCTCTTCGCTTTGGCCATGAATGAATGATACCTTTAAAATAATTGTAGGAATCTGAGCAATTCAGATTCATTTAAAATTAAAATAAATTAAAAATTCATTGTTAATTAAATTAATACCTACACACGATTTCTTTTTCTTTTATTCATTTTACATTCACGTTGGAAAGAATTCTTGTTTCAAACTTCCTATCACAGTTAACATAAAAAAGCGTGACAGTTGAATTAGGGATAAAAATATAGTATTTTTCGTTCTACATATATTATTTTTCTATAATATATAGTACAATGGACTAAAATATAGTACGATACTATATATGACAGTACGGGTGGCAGCCCTACCTGGAGCCAACTTCAATCAAAGAATGCTACAGATGCGTTGTCTCCTCTGAGGACTCAGATAGAATGTCTGTAATTTTACTGGCAGAAAATAAAAATAAAATAAAATAAAATTGTAGCATGGCTCTACGTGGTAGACGCTCGCACAGAATAATAGCGTAAAATAGCAGCTTAATGCTGCTGTGTTTCGTATGGTGAGTGTAGAGAACCGGAGACCCTTTTTATTGGAAAAGAGGCATTCCATCTTAGTCCTCACGGGTGACAACGCATCTGCATTTTGATACGATACGAGGATAAATGTAGATGTCTATGGGCCACAACATGGGCAACAACTTCTTACCATCAGGTGGACTGTGTGCTTGTTTGTCACACTATCCTATATAAAAAAACGAACGCAGCAATGCACGTACTAAAGTATTTGGCGGCAGAAATAGGTAAGAGGTTGGTACTTCCCGATACGGACTTCTAGACAGAAAAGGAGTCCTACCTAGCAAAAATATTAATGAAAAAAAATCATGCGAGAGTGTCGTGTAACACTCGGTTGGAACGAAGTTCATTTCGTAGTATATTATTATTGATAAACGTATTATATTATTGATTGACAAATACAAATAAATGAATTACTAGCGTCTAATAAAATGAAGCGCCACTTAAAATAAAATAATATTTCTTTCATGGCAAAATAAGAAAGAGTGCGAGTGTAATGGATATTATTCCACCTCGCTTCCTTACAGCCGTCAAGGCCGCTTACACTACGTCAGAATCAGAAGGGGTCGTGACGGAAAAACTTACACTTTTTCTTGCCTAGCCCCCATCCGTCAAATTCGTACCGTCCGATAAGGAACTTCGTTCCAACAATATCTTAGAGAAATACTCTTCGAAGGAGTACTCAGTATATGGTATGGTCACTCATTAGTGTCTAATCACAGATTCTGGGTTTGAATTATAGTCGAAAACAATATTCGAACACACCTACGTACTAACTAGTTAGGTACGTAACACGCAATTAACTAGTTATAAGGTCATTGACCGCACTTTTTACCGTTTCAACGCAAACTATAAACCATGCCAATTACGAATCTAATTAAAGATTAAACGAATAATATCACCGAAAGAAGCGCGGACATGTGATATAACGATATCATCACACCGAAATTCATCACACAGAAACAGAATTCACACAGAAATAAATAAAGTACATGCACGTAACGACGTGCATGTACTTTATTTATTTCTGTATGAATCTTAAAATGCAACAGTATTATGTACAACAACAAAGTAACGAGTAATGTCTTCCAGACCGAATTTCAGTCACGGCAGCCAGTCTTAATGGAGACTAGCCATCTGCGCAGGACAGGACTATAGAGCGCAAGTGTATGCGCAAGCACATGTGCACACTCTCTTCTGTATTCCCTCACTCTCATAGTCCGATGGCACGGCAAATTGACACAACCTGAGAGGTTTCAGGCGCAGAGCGTTACGGCTTTACGTGCTTTTCGAGGCACGAGGGTGAAATTCCGCCAAACTCCTGACTTTGGGTTGCTACTGACAATTTATTTATAGAAAAATACAATAGCCGATTTTTTGGCCCGGCAGTTGCGTTTACGACCACTACGAGGCAGTCAGAGTAAAGTAAAAAACACCTACTAAGGTAGAGAGATTCAGTGTTGATCAACATTTTGTACACGGGAGTGTCTTAGCTTGGAGGTTTTATATATAAACACTCACGCCTGTCACCCAGAGGGGTAGGCAGAGACTACGGACTTCCATTTGGCGCGATCCTGACACACCTCTCTCGCCTCTTTTACATCCATATATCTACGCATAGACGCTCGTCGGTTAAGGGTACTCCTAATCTGGCCCATTTTTAATGTATCGCCGATTTGGTCGATAAACCTTCGTCTAGGGCGTCCCTTCCCGACCCTGCCGTTCACTTCCGCAACATAAATTTGCTTTGTCACTCTTTCCTCGTTCATTCTTTCTACATTACCAAACCACCGAAGCATTCCTTTCTTAATCCTTGTCACAACGTCATCTTGCAAACCACACTTTTCTCTTATCACACTATTTCTCACCCAGTCATTCAGATTCAGCCCTAGCATACTCCTTAAGGAACGCATCTCTACAGCATTTATTCTACTCTCATGCTTCTTCTGCCAGACCCAACTTTCACTACCATACATTAAAGTAGGGACTAACACAGCATTATGAATTGCCATACGTGCCTTAGTCGACACATTCTGACTCATAATAGCGTGTAGAGCCCCATTCACTCTATTTCCTGCGTTCACTCGTCGTTCTATATCCTTATCATATCTACCATCCCTGCTAAATAAACATCCCAAATATACAAACTCATCCACTTGCTCAATCAACTCCCCTTCTATTCTTATTTCACATAAAGTTTTACTTTCTTCTCTTTCAAAAACCATCACTTTCGTCTTACTTGCGTTCACTTTCATACCCCTTTCTTTCAATGACCAATTCATTAAAGTAACCATCATTTGCAACTCGGCCGCCGACGATGCAAATATGACTTGATCATCGGCGTACAAAAGGCATTTGACGGTTGACTCACCCATTCTCAACCCACATTCTTCAACTTTCAAAGTTTGCAAACAACTGTCCATAAATAAGTTAAACAGCCACGGGGAAGCCACACATCCCTGTCTGACACCTTTATGAATGCCAAACCAGTCCGAGTAGACCCCGTTGATCCTGACACAAGCACTAGAGTCCCTATAAAGAGATCTTAATGCCTGTATCAAGCCAGCGCTCAACCCAAATGAGTTCAGTGTTTGCCATAACACATTCCTGTCCACTCTGTCATAAGCCTTTTCCAAGTCCATGAACGCACAAAAAACTTTCTGGTTTTTAGCCAAAAACTTCTCCGCTATCATGCGCATGGAAAAGACTTGATCCGTACACCCCATCCCCTTTCTAAATCCAGCTTGCACATCCCAAATTTTTCCATCAGTTTCTTCCATAACTCTTTCAATTAACACCTTAGCATACAGTTTACCCACAATGCTAAGCAAGCTGATACCACGGTAGTTTTTACAGTCCTGCTGCGACCCCTTTCCCTTATATATTGAGACTATAACGGCTTTGCACCAGTCTTCCGGTACCCGTTTCAGTTCCCAATATAAATTAAACAAGGTGTGCAGCAGGCCTGTAACCACACCCTCACCAGCCCTCAGCATTTCGAGTGATACTCTATCATATCCGGCTGCCTTACCTGCTTTCATGCTTTTCATTGCTTTCATTATTTCATCTACACTTATCTCCCTACCTCTCTCCACTTCTTCCGGAATTTTTATTTCACTTATTCCAGACGACTCTTCACTCTTAAACACGCTTTCAAAGTATTCCTTCCATCTCTTTAAATTCGAAACTTCATCATTCAGCATGCAGCCATTCTCGTCTCGTATAGCATTTATTCTAGGCTGTTTTGAAATTCCCCTGGCAGTTCTTACGAGCTTCCAGAACATTTTAATATTTGCCTGGAAGTTATCAGATATCCTTCTATCATTCTTATCTATCCTTTCTTGCTTTTTCCTTTCAACAACTTCTTTTACTCTCTTATTTATACGTCTAAAGTCTGCCTTTTTTCTTTCAATCTCATCATTCATACCGCCAGAATTACCAGCTTTAGTTGCTAGTAAATCTAGCCATGCTCTCTTCTTTGCTTCAACTTCCATCCTTACCTCATCATCCCACCACAACGTATTACTTTTCCTTTCATTCGTTCTCTTACTTACACCGCATACTTCGGTGGCTGCATCCACCAAAACTTTCTTAATATTATTCCATACATTCTTCAATTCTAAATCATTCATACATAATTCATTCAACCCACTTATATTTTCCCTCAATCTGCATTTATACTTCTCTTTCACACCTTCATCTTGTAACCTCTCTATTCTTATACGCTGTAACGCAGTGGTAGACACCGATGTCCGATGCCGCCAACGTCTGAATAGACCATTAATTCGGCATAAGACCAAGTAATGATCCGTCCCTACGTTGGACCCCCGGTAAACCCTTGTATCTACCACTGCGCTCCTCATTCTTTCATCCACAATTATAAAATCTATCATGCTTCTATCATCCCCTCTTTCCCATGTATACATGTGAATCCTCTTATGGCGAAAGAAAGTGTTCGCCACAAAAAGATTCTTTTTCACACATACGGTGAGGAGGTCTTCACCATTCTCATTTATTCTTTCATCGCCAAACGTTCCTAATATCCTTTCATAACCAGACCTCTTCGCCCCAACCCTTACATTAAAATCTCCTAACATAATAATATTTTCATTTTCCTTACATTTCATCAACACCAGCCTTACCATGTCCCAAAACTGCTCTCGGATATAAGTGGGCTTAGACATATCTGGGGCGTACACCCCTAGCACAAACAACTTCTTTAAGCCCACTTTCATTCGCATCCACAGCAGCCTCGGGCTAACACATTCATACTCTTTCACACATTGACCCATTCTTTCTGAAAGGATGACACCGACTCCTTGGCATGCCCGCTCGGTCTCGTCTACTCCAGACCAGTAAGCGGTATACATGCCATGTGCAGTGACATCTCTTCCCTTTCGTTTCGTCTCGTTTACACATAACACATCTATTCCTCTATCATTCATCATTTCGCATACTTCATCCATCTTATCATTCTTTGCTCCACATACTTGGAGGTTTTACGATTTTATAATTTGGATTTTTTTTAAGCGTTTACTTAATACTTATTTTTGTAGTCTTTTAAACCAGCAGGTAAAAAGTTTATTTATGAATTTAGATAATTGGTGCTGTGCTGTATGAGTTCTTTATTATCTTAGGGCTTAAAATAGCAGCTTAACGCATCTGTGTTTCCTATAGTGAGTGTAGAGAACCGTAGATCCTTTGTACTGGAAACGAGGCATTCAATTTTAGTCCTCGTGGGTGACAATTTATCTGCATTTTGACTCGTAATCAAAGATAGATGTACATGTCTCGACTCATAAACATCAAAATCCATCAAAACGCAGATGTGTTTTCACCCTTGTCAACTAAAATAGAATACCTTGTTACCAGTAGGGTCTCCGGTTCTCTACCCTCACCATGCGAAACACAGGAGCATTATTCTGCCGTTCTGTGAGAGCGTGGTCCTACCCATTCGTGCTGCAGCGAGTATATATAGCTGTGTGTAGTGCACTGCAGTTTTATAATATTGGTTTGCTTTTTTTTTATACGTTCGTTAAAATACATTTCGTTTAGTAGTGCAAACTTAACTTGATGAACGAAGACATAATAGAACAATGATAGAAAAGATCATGAGTTCTGTTTAAATTTGTATTTTATTTTGTCGGAACAATATTTTTGAGCAATCTTAACTGTAATTAGCAAATGGGATCTAGCATGTAGGTGTCTCCGGGCCGAGGAATCCAGTAGCCATCACGTGGACCATATGCTAGTTTATCAAACTTAATTGTATAAAAAATGTCACTCACAGCAATCTCACTGTCCAGCTTTGAGTAGACGTCGTTATGGTGACGTCGTCGAGCGCGCACCGTCTGCCGCAGTGAGCCCGAGTCTCGACCGCACCACCCTCCCACACGTTCGCCCACCACTTCCAGCATATCGGCGACCCGGCTGCCAACAAAAAAAAAAACATGGCTATAAACATTTTTACTGACAATACGCACTAAACATTACCTCCTAACCTATCCTCTGTTTTTATCACTTGCAGGAGAGATTAACGTTTGAAGAAGTGAGGATCTCCCTCCTTCTTCAAAAATGTTGATCTCACCTGCAAGTGGTAAGTACAGAATTATTAAGTACAGTATTGCTAAAATAAGCTTTGGCGACAGATTAATATTGTTTTATCTATACAAAAAAAAGTTAGTTAAAGTTACTGCCTAATGCCTATACACGTCCCACTGCTGAGCACAGGTCTCCCCTCATTTCTGAGAGGGTTTTAGGGCAAAGAAATGTCCGCCACGCTGCCCCAATGCGTGTTGGCGAACTTCACATGTCTTCGATTTTTTTTCTTATTTCTCAGACATGTAGTTTTCCTCACAATGTTTTCCTTGACCGCCGAGCACGTGGTAAATCAGCACTTAAAATTGCAACTAACAATTTCATTGGTGCCCCCCGGGTTGCCCGCGTACTGTGAAATTTACAGCGAGCGCTAACCATCTGAGCTACCACGGCTCATACAAAAATACAAAAATCTATACAAAAATGATAAACGCAAAAACAGGCTCCTGACGGTGGGTAGCATTATCTGAGCGAGGGTATTATCACCTATAGCCAGTAGCCATTTATATTTATTCTTGATTAAGAATCAAAATGCAGATGCGTTGTCACCCCTGAGGACTAAGATGGAATGCCTCGTTCCAGTAAAAAGGGTCTCCGGTTCTCTACACTCACCATACGAAACGCAGCAGTGTTAAGCTGCTATTTTACGCTGGTATTCTGTGAGAGCGTGGTCTTACCCCGGCCAGCCGACCCATTCGTGCTACAACCATAATATAGCTGCAGCGTGACTCTATCACGTAAAATTTAGCTGTTCCCCGCGACTTCGCCCGCGTGTAATTTTTAAATTTAGGATATTGATTTTGTTGCGCGGAACCCTAATTATTTTTCTAAAATATAAGTAGCCTAAGTTACTCCTTATAACATAAGCTATCTACCAGTGAAAGTCCCATCAAAATCGGTCCAGCCGTTTTGGAGATTAGACGGAACAAACAAACAGACAGACGGACAGACAGACAAAAATTTTAAAAATTGTGTTTTTGTTATAGGTACCGTATATACTTTTATATGCAATTATTAACACGCTGTTATTTTGACATTACAAACAGACACTTCAATTTTATTTATTTGTATAGATGTATAGATTTCAATTAAAAAAAGTTTGGAAAATCCAAAAGTGCACGAAACATAATGCTCATATGATCATCATATTATCATTCATGTCACTCCATAGTCCAAGACGTATTTAAGTACAAATATACTTAAGTATATACATCCTACTTACTTTTAATACGTAGTAGTATAATTTATTCTGTGCTTTTAAAATATTGTAATAAAAATCTCCGATTATTATAATAATCAAGTATGTATGAAATTTGGTTTTTCGAATATTTTGTATTTGTACAGGGATTATTTTTCAGCCGCTGCAAACAACCGATACAGTATCCACTCACCACGGCGGTTGACGTCGAAGTGAGTGAGTGAGGCAGCCTATTTAGTAACAAAAATTATTACAAGGCTGCTAAAACACCGAAAATTTCCTGATTACTACGCCGAAAAAAATTAATTATAACTAAACAAAAGAAAATTAAACTGCCATTTACATGGCTTCTCCCACATGGTAGATGATGATATTAAAAAAAAAGATTGAGTTGAACAATTGATATTTTCAAAAGATATCGTTTTTTTTTTATAGGATAAGGGTGACAAACGAGCACACAGTCCACCTGATAGTAAGTGATTGCTGCGGCCCATAGACATCTACATCTATCCTCTGTTACAAATCAAAATGTAGATGCGTTGTCACCCGTGAGGACTAAGATGGAATGCCTCATTTCCAGTAAAAAGGGCCTCCGGCCACCTGCACTCACCAAGCGAAACGCAGAGGTAAACCTCTACTTCACGCTGGTTTTCTGTGAGGTCGTGGTACTACCCCGGTTCGAGCCGGCCCATCCGTGCGACAGCAAAAGCTGCCGCGTGGCTCTACCACTGTTAAATCGTGTTTTCCACTCCATGCGGACTTGATAATACTACACCATAAGCCACTAAAACCACTTTTTATGTAAAAATAGCAATTAATCGATTAAAAAAAAATATTAATAAGTTTAACAATCATTTATCTTTCTGACAATGTGCTTTTTATATCATTTATATGTTCAATATGATTCTTAGATAAGATTTTATGCGACAAAACGTCGGAATCTTCATTTTTAGGCGCTAGTAGAACATACCTACGCGCTTAGCGCTTAAAGCATACAATATAATAAACAATAACTATTAAAACAAATATTAATAACACATCTATTTACGTAAACAGTGATAAAAAACTTTGAAATGCGTATGGTACGTCGCTCTCCTGAAACGCGCTAGCCTTGGCTGCGTATGTAACTTGAGGTTCCGCGCGATTGTAGGCGTTTACATCACACAGGAAGCAAGAGGGACAGAAGCCTGCTGTGGCCAACAAAAATATCTAAGAACCTTTTCAGAAGCCATACATATATAAACCGATCCAGTACTTTTTCAGGAAAATGGTAACAAAAATGTGTACAAAAAACAACCTCTTAGGGTAAACACATACCGAATCTGTTCTCTCTATTTCTCCCTATACCAGGCCTCTGTCACTCTTGCTACCTGCGTGAAATAATTACCTACAATCGCGAGCTGCCCCAGGGGTAGATCGCAGTCGGGGCTAGCGCGCTCTATACGATTGAATGTTAAAGTTTTTTAACGCTGTTTACATAAAAAATTTTTTTGTAAATACTTGTTGAAATACTCGTCGAAATAGTTTTTGTTTAGTGTTTAGTATATTTAATTGTAGGATAAAGTAGTTGAAAAAGTTTTAATGTAATTTAAAAATAATATATATGTATATTACCTATCTATTTGATAAATTATAATGGTAAAACGTCGTTCCTACTATATTAATTCAGATATATCATTTTTTCTTACCGAAGGATAATAAAAGGTAAATTTATTTAATTTTTTTGTTAGATATGTACTTATAGCGAAAAAATAATTAAGTATAATAATTTAACTACAGAAGTAGTACGTAAGTAGTTTATTACAAAACTTAGTTGAAATTTACTTCACTAAACAAGTACCTACTTACATACCTATACTCGTCTTTGTAATTAAAATATTTTAAGTTATAATAGCACAAAATACTGAAATTAAAACTTTGTTTACAAGATTTTCAACAAAGTAGATTACGATCATATTTCTGTTAGGAATCGTATTTCGGGTTTATTTGTAGTTTACGCTATCTACCTATACGAACCAAACGTCGCGATTCCCGACGAATGGCCTTGTAAGTTGCATGCGTTGGGCATCACAGAACTCACATAGTAGATATTATGGTCGATTATAGTCAGCATAGGTACTTTACCTAAGTAACTTACCATTTCACAATGTATTTTTTTACTCTTTATTAACAGCCCTTAGCAAGCACGGAAAGTCCGCTGTGACGTAGTAAGGAGAAAAGATGCAAAGTAATACAGACAATCGTGCGCGGCGATACAGTTTTATTTAGCTTGCGTGCGCGATTTACATGATTAATAATAACTATATAGGCATAGAATTATTATGTAATAATTCTATGTATGTAGGCTATTAAAACGTCGGCAAGCAGTCAACATCAAAAGAGTGCAACTTCTGTACGTTAGTACTATTATTTATTCTGTGCCTATACATAATTAATAACAGTGATCACGTTAACAATGTTTTATTTCAAAAATAACAATTTAATCTATGATAAAAAAATCTCAAATAAGTGATTATAACTACTAACTTACCTATGAAAGGTAATTCCTTGATGTTTTTTCATAAAACCACCATGATTTTTGCAAGAGTTAACGACGCAAAACAGCATATTTCTTTATTTATTTTTACTTACGACAACTACTTCTCGCGGGACGACGTTTGTTGCGTAATGGCAAACACAACTTAATTTTTTAAGGGCCATTTACATTACATTTATTATCCACGATAGTGAATAGATAATAAAAGACAATACTTTCTATTGGTCGCAATGCTATTCCGTTTAATGGCAATAAGTTCGCGGCTGAAACGTCCTTGCGTAGCGTATTAATCGGCCATCATGTTTGTACAGTTAAACGGAGGAGCAAACAAATACGCTTGAACTAATGGGAATACGACAATTGCTCAGAAAGTTAAAATTTAAAAATAAAAATTGCCAGAAGTTGTCACTTATTTCATGTATTTTGACGAACGTATTGTAAAAGGTCGGCGCTGGAAGCGTTTTAGGCACACGATAAACTTTTAATTTTTAGACGACTTCAATTTTAATTCGACTGTGTTTTTTATGTACGATAAGCGATATCTTCGTCAACTGTGAACCGGTCTTGATGATTCTTTTTATTACATAGTTACTATTACAGGGGTAGTCCCACAAAAATTTGGAGAAAGATTCCAATCCTGACATTTAGATTGTGATATTTCTTACTACACCCAAAAGTTTTTTTATTTTTTCTAACTTTTCATAAAAAGTATAAGTATAAGTCGAATCTAAAGAACTAAAAAAAATCGAGTGAATTTTTTAAATTTATTTTTAAATTTTACCACATTTTTTAATTATATTCTTGCATTGTCATTCGAATTTGAGCTACATTCAAAATATTAAGTTTCCATACGATACGCATACGCATACGATTCTTAATGTGAAGGTTGGTGTTGTTTTTTGCAACTAAATTATTGATATTCGGGTTTATGTTACTACAAACTTGTATTCTCAAATCGGATTCCACTTGTAATTTGTTTCTGTAGTTTTACTTTTGGTGGCATTCATTTATTATTGTGAAATAGTGTAGAGAAAATGCTCGCGGATCCCCAGGGCCACGCGGATCACAGGTTAAGAAACATTGGTCTAGGACATGGTA